CCTTCCTCACAAACTTTTTGCAAATATTTTCTTTCATGAACAACTTCCAAAATCTCACTTGAACCAATATTCACAACTTTCTTGCCCCAAAACCAACACTCTCAAATTCGAACCTCACAAGCCAATGCTTCACTAACTACAAGGGTTGGTAGAACATAGGCCGATAGGTTTGTAATATGGCTAGATCAAGAAAGGGGAATGAGGCCCAAATTGGTTAGCTAGTGGGTGGATGTAAAAATGAAAACCAAATTTGTAACAAAATACAAAGAAAACAAAGAAAAATGAGAAGAAATGCCCTCTCCCTCCTTTAAAGTTGTTTGGTCACGATCTCGGGAGCTAAATACCAATACAAAGATTAAGACATGCATAGTTAAGGATCCAAAGTGTCGCTCACAAGAATGATGAAGGCTAGAACAAATGACGCTCACACGAGATAAAAATAAGCAAATACCAACCAAGGGAATCCTATTCACTACGGAGAGCAACACCATCTTACCACTCTTCCGTGAACTAGGGGTTAAAACGTCCTCAAAAGTTCTAAACTGGGCTACCTTAGCTTATAATGTGTCTAATTCAACCTTAATCATTCTCAAACCGTGTAAACCCTCATCAACTAGGAAGGTAAGCATTCAAAGGCATGTCATCAAAAAGGCACACAAATTCTCAAATCCAAATGAATGAGCAAATCCACATCAAAAATATTTCAACTTGCCATAGTCATGCTTGTTACACAAAAGAGAACAAGAAAAACACACAAGAAAGAGGAAGGAATTAAAAAGGTTCATTATCGAGGCATGTAAATCAAATAAATCCCAATTGACATACAAGTGATCGTTGATATCAACATCAACGATCCCAGGTTCCTTAGAACCAAAATCAATCAACCTCGAACCATTCAACTCTTCCTAAACTAGACCTAAACTAAGCACTCAAAGAAAAAGAAAAAAAAAAGAAAAAGAGGAAAGGTCTCACCAAATGCCGCTTGAAATAGAAGACAAGGTAATATATCCAATCTCACCAAGGGAGCTAGTGTTGCTCCTTAACGTCCTTCATCTCCGCTTTCAAGCTTTAAGAAAGGTGAGCCAAACAAAAGAAACTACAACAAAACAAGAAAAGTTAGAAAACAAAGAGAAAGACTAAAGAAATAAACAAAAAGAAGAAAAAAAATAAATAAAAAGCTATCTACAAAGTTTGGATTAAGGGGATTTGGATTTTCGGGAATTTTGGATTTTTTTCTTGGGAGCATCTCCACCTACAAAAACTCAAGAATCTTCAAAGAAAATCATCAGAAATCAGCAAAAATAATCATAAAACATCATCATCATCACCATCACATCACCATCATCATCTCATAACAACACCATCACAACATCACCATCACAACATCATCAACAATAACAAGGCCACTATCCTCATTATCCTCCTTATGTGCAAGCTACTACCCTACCACTCTACCCTCCTATGTACACTTCAACCAACCAAAAGGACATCCTCCCCCACACTATTCTTTTTCTCATCCCGAGCAAAAGTTACAAGTTAGAAGACCGGGGGGAACCCTCATCACGGGTTATCATCTCCTTGCCCCCTAGGTCGAGGGGGGTTAACAGGATCAAACCCGGGAGTATCCATGAAAGGGTGGAAGGGTTGGTTGAAGTGCTCATAGGGCCACCCTTGGTCACCCCAACCGCCATCAAATGGAGTAGGGGTAGATGTGGATTCCGGGTCATAAGCCGGATCACACCCACCTGGACGATAGGGGTTGTATGGTGGGGTGCCAACGCATTGGGTAGGGTCGATGGGACTATCCCACTAGGCGTAGCAAGGGGGGTGGGGTGTTGAGGGTCATAGGGCCCCCAATGATTGACCAGACCCTCTTGAGGAGGGTGGTAAGGGTAGTTCACATAAGGCGCTTGAATGCCCACTTGCACAAGATTGTCATAATTTTACCTCGCGTAGTACCCCCATTGTTCAATGGAAGCTTGACTGTCTCGACGGATATCATCAAGGGTACTGCGAAGGGCATTTAAATCAAAAGGAGGAATGGAAGAAGAGGAAGATGCCTCACCTCCCCTGCTAAGGGGGGAAACAGTTTGCTCCTGACGGAGGACCGGCGGAGGTTGAGGAACTCCACCCCGGGCTCTAGTTTGTCTCAGCTCATTGGGGATGTTTTGCTGAGGGATCTTCCTTTTGAGAGGAGCAGAGTGGTCCACCGTGGTGAGGTCGGGGTCCGGGAGGATACACCATTCGATCTCCCTATCGACCAAGAGGATGAGTCGGCGCTTGCTAGTGGTGTAGTTGAGGAAGCGGCTGTGACGGAGGCACTTATGGAAAGAGCATAGGGAGGGAACTCGTCGGTGAGCTTTTCTCGGGTTTGGTGCACGGGTGGGAGCAATTCAATTTGATCTTTGTATGCTCCATTCTTTAAAGAAAGAGCAATGATAGTAATCATGCCACCCATAAAGATCTCATCACCGAGACGGTTATCCCTAGTATCCAAGAGCCGTTGGATGAAGGTGGAAGAGCATTGAAATTTGAGCCGCTGAGGGTTATCGGCCAAGAATAGGCAAGCAACCTCATCTTTTACCATGGAGCCGAGGTTTGCTTTGAAGAACACGGTATATTGGAGAAGCCGTACAAAATACCTCAAGGCTATGTGAATGATATTGTTGACCTTTGAGGTATTAGTTTGAAACCTATCCTTGTTGGTGATACTCCTCCACCACTCTTGCTCGTTGTAAGGTATGCAATGAGTGGAGGTCATTTTGGATGGGTGATCAAGTCCGGTGGCATGCCAAAATAATATCACATTTAGCTCACTTTCCGTTAAAGAGTGATCCTCGTTGAACATTCTAAAGTGGATCATAAGTTGAGGATCCTCATCAACATCCTCCGGCTCAATGACTTCCTTGCGAAGAGAGGCAAGGAATTCCAGTACACGCTCGTAAGTTTAAGCGTGGAGTTGAATGAAGTCACCCCATCCAAATTTCTGAGCCAACCTCATCCAAAATACCTAGCTTCCTCAAAGTTTTGGGGCAAAAGAATCTTGTAGAACGGATTGGACGCTTGATGAGTGACTCATAGATGGGCCAAAATTGCTCGTCCGAAGCAACAATGCCATGATCATTGATGCCGAGAGGATGTGGGAATTGTGGTCCTGAAGATTCTCCCACTCTCTTCCTCTTATATTTTCCGTTGCCTTTGCCCAACATTTTGATTCTACAATTTCACCAAGAGCATATCATTAGAAAAAATTGATAAGAAATGACATAAGAAGCTAGCCAAGGTTAAAGTGTATGTAAGAGAGTATACAATTCAAGGCATGCATGACTACATTTGAACCAAAGCTTGAATAAGAAATCTTATGTCATTCCTATATGAGTCCTAACAAAGTCTAGGTGAAATTTGGCATGATGTCCCCTAATTTTCATGATAACCATTCATCTAACCATCAAAAACAAACCAAAGCAATAAACAACAATTTCCAACAACATCCAACTCATGAATTTCTCAATCATAAAACGGTAACATGAACACCCTAGTATGAAATCAACATTCTTAAACAAAGACATTGAGATCAAAATAAAACCAAGGCAAACATGCATAATCATCATAACAACATTGTTGGACTCAATGATTTTGATGATGACACAACCTCACTTACTTACAAACTAATAAGTGCTTGATTGTTTAAGTGTGTACTCAATTATAAAGACCAGGAGAATTAAGTGTCTTGTAAAAATACCATGAGGAACAAGAAGGCCAGAAGCAGAGCTAGCCATACAGAAGAGTTCCCTCACAGGAACTGGCGCTTCACAAATGAAGACTGGAGAAGAGAAGGTTCCCTCAGGGAACAGAAGCTTCAGAGAAGAGAAGTTCCTCCCAAAGAACAGAAGCCTCGGAGTAGAAGCTTCATCAGAGAACATGAAGACTAAATATATTTTTATATTTTAGGATTTATGTAAGTATAAGATATTAAATGGCACTCGAAAAATCTGTGTGGGATTGGTCTAAAAAGATAAAATTGTGCATGCTAGTTTTTAGGAAAACGGTTGCTTTCTAAAACGTTTATCTTTTTGAAAGGGATTTTATTTTATTCTGAATTTCAAAAATATCTTGTGCAAAAAGATTTTATTTTATTTTCTTATTTTCGAAAATATCTTCTGAAAAAATAAAATCACCATGTTTTCCAAAACTTACGGCTTACTCTCCCATGTTCTATGTCAGTCATGGTTTTGCACATTGAGGAGTTCATGGTTCCTTAATTCTAGGAACATGATCTTCTTAGTGGGTATGAGTAGTGGCGTAATGGTGTTGATGCACAAAGAGAATTTTTCCAAAGCATTTGTTGATCTATAAATAGCCATTGATTTCTGTTGGAAAAACTCACCCTTGCTCACATAAGTTTTCAAGCTTCAAATCGAGTCAAGTGTCAATTCCACACAAGTTCATTAGAGTGTTCTTAATGTTCTTATACTAGAGTTTGTTTTTCTTTCGAGTTGTAATTGGGGAATGGGGAAGTTCGAGTGAACGTTTGTGTGTGAGAAAGAGAAGAGAGAGAGAGAAGAGAAAGAGAAGAGAGAACAGAGAAGTGAGAAGAGAGAAAGAGAAGAGAAGAGTAACAAGTTGGGTGACTTGTTCCTCAGGGTCTCAAGTTCGTAGAGGAACTTGATTTTGAGTCTTTAGCTTGTAATAGGATCATTTTCCCTATTATAGTGAAGATTCTTTTCCCAAAATCCCAAGTGGTCGTGGTTTTTCTCCTTGTTAGGGCCAAGGAGTTTTCCACGTAAAATTTCTCTTGCATTCTTTAGTTCCTTTAGTTAATCTCTCAGTTCCTTTAGCTAACTTAATTTTAATTCCGCAAAAAGTTTGGCTAAATTCTCATACTACAATTCAACCCCCCCCCCCCCCCTTCTTGTAGTATTCATTAAAACAACAATTGGTATTAGAGCCTAACTTCTAGGAAAATCAGGAAACCCTGAAGAAGAAAGGTCTTGGAGAAAATGAATACTCATGAGAAGCTCGAGGAAGGATACTCAACTCAGAGGCCTCCTATGTTCAACGGCAAGTTCTATACTTACTGGAAGAACCGTATGGAGATCTTTATCAAGGCAGAGAACTACCAAGTCTGGAGGGTCATCGAGGTTGGTGATTTCGAAGTCACCAAAACTAATGCTCAGAATGAGGTAATCCCTAAGCCTATGTCTGAATATGAAAAAGAGGACTTTGATAAAATGGAAATAAATTCTATGGCTGTGAAATTGCTCCACTGTGGACTTGGACCTCACGAACACAATCGTGTTATGGGGTGCAAGAACGCTAAAGAAATCTGGGATTTGCTGCAGATTACTCATGAAGGAACTAATGAAGTTAAGCGCTCAAAAATCGATCTATTTATGTCTAAGTATGAACGATTTGAAATGCAGCCTAAGGAAACCATTCAAGAGATGCTAACCCATTTTACTAACATCATAAATGAGTTGGTTTCCCTTGGTAGACAGATTCCTACAAATGAACAGGTTAGGAAGGTTCTTAGAAGTCTTCCACAAGATGAGAGATGGAGAGCTAAGGTGACAACCCTTCAGGAAACGAAGGACTTTACAAAGTTCAATATTGAACAACTAGCAGGTTCTCTCATGACTCATGAGCTACACCTTGGAGTCAACAATGAACCCATGAGGAACAAGGGATTGGCTCTTAAGGCTGATGAGGAGGAAGACTCAGAAGTGGACGAGGATGAGGCTGCCCTAATTGTGCGAAGATTCAAAAGGATGTTCAAGAAAGGCCGAACCTCAAGGAACTTCGGGAAAAAGACCTCAAATCCAAAGCCTAACTACAGTTGCCACAAGTGTGGATCCCCGGATCACTTTATCAGAGACTGTCCCCTTTGGGAAAATGATAAAGGAAAAGGAAAGGCTAAGGAACAGGGAAGAGAAAAAATCAGCAAAGCAAACTATCAGAAGTCAGACATGAGGAAGACCATGATAGCAGCCTGGGGAGACTCAGAAAGTGAAGAAGAAGATGATGACCAGCCAGAAGAAGAGACTGCAAATCTTTGTTTGATGGCCAAATCAGATGATGAAAAAGCTTACCTTGAGGAACTCCAGAAAGAGGTATTTCTTGATCCTAAACAGCTTAAAACTCTCTCTAAAGATGTCTTAATAGATATATGTCTTGAAGAAGAAGAATTCTTTAGAGATACATGTGTAAAGTTGAACAAATGTGAAAAAGCTCTTAAGGTTTGCAAAGAACATGGTGCTTGGTTGGAAACAGCCTATGCCAAGTCTCAAAGCAAATTAAGAGAGCTTGATTTTAAATACAAACACATAACTGAGATAGCTGATAGGATTAAGAATGAAAGTATTCTTCTGAATGTTGAATTAACTCAGTATAAGCTCATAAATTCTGATATCAGTTCTAACAGTTCCTCAAGCGATCAGTTGCTTAAACTCAATGTTGATTTTGAAAATTTGAAAAATGAGCTTTCTACCTTAAAAACTTAAAAGGATCAACTTGAATCGGAACTGAATGCTAGAAAGGATAGAAGTATTGACCCAAAAGTCATACCTAGATGGATAGCTGAAGCTCAAGGAAAAAGAACTGAAGGCCTTGGCTATATGACCAAGAAGAAAGGTAAGCAAAAGAAATATGTTGAGCTTCCTAGCATGAAGGTATGCACTTTTTGTGGTAAGTCTGGACATCTCTATGGACAATGTAGGATAAGAGAAGAAGCTGATAAAAGAAATGTAAAACAAGTGTGGGTCAAGAAAACTGATATTGCATCCACGTCTAAGGAACCCAAGGAAACCTGGGTTCCTGATCCTAATGCTTAGTTTTCTTGCAGGTCCTAGTGAGGGGGAACAACTCGTGGTATCTCGACAGCGGTTGTTCAAAGCATATGACAGGTGATAAATCAAAATTCCTCTCACTAGAAGACTACCCTGGAGGAACAGTAACCTTTGGGGATAATAAGAAGGGCGAGATCATTGGAAAAGGCAAAATTGGAAGATCTAAATCTCATTCCATTGATAATGTGTTCTTGGTCGAGGGCTTAATGCACAATTTGCTCAGTATATCACAATTCTGTGATAAAGGAAACTCTGTAAGTTTTACTTCTGATTCTTGCAACATCATCAACAACAAGTCAGGAAAGGTTGTTCTAGAAGGAACAAGAAGAGGGAACACTTATACAGTTGACCTCAACTTAATCCCAAGGAACAACCTTACATGTCTGAGTGTTGCTGAAGATGATCCCCTGCTATGGCATAAACGTTTTGGACATGCTAGCTTTTCATTACTGGACAAGCTGAGGTCAAGGAACTTGGTAGTGGGACTTCCTATTATCAAGTTCCTACAGAACAAAGTTTGTGATGCATGTGTGAAAGGCAAGCATGTTCGCTCATCTTTTAAATTGAAGAAAATGGTAAGCACTACAAAGCCTTTGGAATTAATCCATATGGATTTGTGTGGTCCCATGAGAATTAAAAGCAGGAGTGTTAAGAAATATGTTTTGGTTATTGTTGATGATTATTCTAGATTCACTTAGGTTATTTTTCTTGCTAGTAAAGATGAAACTTTTAACGAGTTTGTTGCTTTTGCCAAGAAAATACAGAAAATCAGTGGTCACTCCATAGTCCATCTCATCTCAGATCACGGAACTGAATTTGAGAACTCAAGATTCGATGAGTTTTGCAGGGAAAATGGCATAATTCATAACTTCTCAGCTCCAAGGACTCCCCAACAGAATGGAGTTGTAGAAAGGAAGAATCGAACCCTTGAGGAAATGGCTAGAACGTTGCTGATTGCAAGTGGATTGCCAAGGAACTTCTGGGCTGAAGCCGTGAATACAGCATGTTACATCCTTAACCGGGTAACAATCAGAAGTATCATCAACAAGACTCTTGATGAACTATTCAGGGGAAGGAAGCCAAACATATCTCATCTTAGAGCCTTTGGTTGTAAGTGCTTTGTACATAACAATGGTAAGAAAAACCTAGGGAAATTTGATGAAAGAAGTGAAGAGGCTATATTTCTAGGATATACCTCTGATAGCAAAGCTTATAGAGTCTACAATAAAAGCTCAATGTGTGTTGAGGAAAGCATTCATATAATCTTTGATGAAGTTAACCAGTTTGTGAGTGTACAGGAACAAGAAGATGATAATGATTTTGAAATTGGATTGATAAGAGACAGGGATGAAGAGGAGACTCAAAAGCAAACCAAGGAAAAGCAGCCTGCTCCAGAAGAGGAACATCAAGAAAATGGAGAGGTTCCTCAACCAGATGAACAGCTGAATGAGGAATAAGCAGAAGAAGCAGAAGGAACAGAAACAGAAGCTCCTCAAATTGGAGTTCCAGCAAGAGAATTCCAACCCAGGCCATTCAAGTATCAAGGTTCCCATCCAACTGATCTAATTATCAGTGATATAGGAAAAGGAACTCTAACAAGATCACAAATGAGGAACTACTGCGCATTCCATGCATTTTTGTCCATTCTAGAGCCAAGAAATCATCAAGAAGCCTTGGGAGATGCTGATTGGATAGTGGCCATGCAAGAGGAACTCAATGAGTTCGAAAGGAACAAAGTCTGGCACCTTGAACCAAAGCCTAAGGGAAAGAAAGTAATTGGGCTTAAATGGGTGTTCAGGAACAAGATTGATGAACATGGCACCATTGTAAGGAACAAGGCTAGATTGGTTGTGAAAGGCTACAACCAACAGGAAGGTATTGATTTCGATGAAACCTTTGCTCCTGTAGCTAGATTAGAAGCTATTAGAATTCTAGTAGCTTTTGCTTCTTTTATGGGTTTTAAACTCTATCAAATGGATGTGAAATGTGCTTTCCTAAATGGTTTCTTAAATGAGGAGGTGTTTGTTGAACAACCTCCAGGTTTCGAAAATCCTAAATTTCCAAATCATGTTTTTAAGCTTGATAAAGCTCTCTATGGGCTGAAACAAGCTCCAAGAGCCTGGTATGAAAGGCTTTCAAAGTTCGTACTGAAAAATGATTTCAAAAGAGGAAAAGTAGACAAAACTCTTTTTCTTAAATCTCGAGGAACTGATTTGTTAGTTGTACAGATTTATGTAGATGATATTATATTTGGTGCTACTAACAATGGTTTGTGTAAGTACTTTGTTGAGCTAATGGGTGGTGAATTTGAGATGAGCATGATGGGTGAATTGAACTTCTTCCTTGGACTTCAAATAAAGCAAACAGCTGAAAGAATAATGATTCACCAACAGAAGTATGTCAAGGAACTTCTGAAGAAGTACAACATGGAAAATGCCAAGACAAATCATACACTTATGGGAACAGCAACAAGACTTGATGAGGATCCACAAGGAACAAGTGTGGATCAAACCACTTACAGAGGTATGATTGGTTCATTGCTGTATCTAACAGCCAGTAGGCCTGACATTTCTTTTAGTGTTGGATTGTGTGCTAGATTTATGTCTAATCCTAAAGAATCACATCTAACGGCTGTTAAGAGAATTTTGAGATACCTCAAAGGAACAGATGACCTGTGTCTGTTCTATCCTAGAAGTGATGACTTTATGCTTAGAGGATTCACAGATGTTGACTATGCAGGTGACCTAGTCAATAGGAAAAGCACCTCAGGTATGGTTCAGTTCCTTGGCTCTTGTCTAGTTTCTTAGGGTTCCAAGAAACAAAATACTGTTGCATTGTCTACTGCAGAGGCTGAGTATGTAGCAGCAGCTGCTTGTTGCTCTCAAGTCCTCTGGATAAAACAACAGTTACGTGACTTTGGTATTAAATTTAATTGCATTACTATCTACTGTGATAACACTAGTGCAATTTGCATATCTAAAGATCCAGTCCATCATTCAAGAGTTAAGCATATTCATATAAGGAATCATTTCCTTAAGGATAATGTTGAAAAGGGTTTGATTAAATTAGATTTCTGCCAAACTGACAATCAAATTGCAGATATATTAACAAAACCCTTGAATAGAGAAAGGCAAGAGAAGATGAGAATGGAACTTGGGATGATTAAGTTATGCTGAGAAAAATGCATCAAGTTCCCTCAGGTATGAAGCTCAAACTGACATGCTTAATCTGTTGTATACCGTGCACAAGTGTTATATGTTTAATTACATAGTTAAGACAGGTTGTAAGCAGGAGTAATATTTACTAAGGGCATGTAAATTTGAAAGATATAGAATATGAAAAGTCCAAAATTGGTTGCATGAGCCTTGTTGACTTATTCCGTGTATCAAGTTGTATTTGCAAGTGTTCTTTACTGATAATATTCAAAAGATAAAATTGTTGTCTTTATCTATCTTTCAAAATTCCAAATTCTTTTTATCTAAACACAAATAAATCGGATGAATGCATCTAATTTCATCACTATCTTTTGTTCAAAAAGTAGCCCACTTACACTACTCTCTTGAAACACGGTTTGCGTTTCCCTAAGCAATAAATATGAGTGTCAAATCAACTAAATTCACCTCACCTCCCAAGCGACACCTCACTTCACCAATTTACCTCCACCATAAAAGATGTCAGCCTCACACAAATTTACACCACACAAAAATTACCTTCTTTCTCATCACTCCGATCAAAACTACTCTCCAATGTCTTCCTCTCCAAAAACCCAAATTGAAGCCGACCTTAACACAAACCCAATTCCAGAAATTACCATGGAAATCCCACCGGAAATTAACCCCATTGATGACCAAGAGCCTCCAAAAGTGGATTCAACTACCGAATCCCAGTCTTCTCGAAAAGGAAGTCCGATGACATGCAAGAAGAAGAAGAAAGCGCTCCGGAACTAGGGGTCAATTACCGAGACAAGCCTGCAGCCATGAAACGGCGAGAGAAGATCAGTGATCACTTTGTGACAGGTTTGGCTATTAATCTTCCTTGGTGTAAGTCTGTTAAATTGTATGAACTGCTTGATTTGATTGAAGCTCAAAATTGGGTAAATTTGTTGAGTGAATGCTTTAATCGGAGTATGTATGTTGATGCTATGAGGGATTTTTGCAAAAGTTTCAAATACTCTAAAGGTGTTATTCGCTGCTGTGTGTATGAAAAAGAAATTGAGTTTGATGCGTTGTATCTGGCTGAGTTGTTTGATGTTCCTAATACTGGATATGACTTGTATTTTAAGAGTAATGTGATAAGGAACCCTCTTCCTGATGCAAATATTGATGAGATAGTAGAGTTTCTAGGTGGAGACCCGGAGGAAACCTACATAAATCACAATGACCTAACCCCTCTTGACAAAATTCAGCTAAAATTTGTTTTCAATGATATTATCCCTCGCACCCAAAAGAGAGACAGTGCCAACAAGCTTGACTCTGTTCTCATCTATTGCCTAGCCAAAAAGATCCAAATAAACTTTCCCTCTATCATGGTTCAACACCTCTCTCACTGTGTTCCAAAAGGATGGAAGGTGGGATATGGTAACCTTCTCACCTATGTCTTTGAAAGCTTTGACATTTCCTTTGTTGATAAAGAACCCCTGCCCCTCAAAAACACCGAGTAAATGCAGCCCATTTTCCTTGAAAACCATAAGATGAAGGTTGTAGATGGATGTTTTGAGGTTGTGCTGGAAGAAAAAGATAAGAGGCCAAAGGAAGTAGGTGTTGTAGCTGAGGGGGAAGAAGAGAGAGCTACTGGATCATAGAGGGAGTGGTACAGGACATTCAGGAGGAGGAAGAAGAAAAGGTGGTTGAGGAAGTGACTGAGACAAGGGGAAGGAAGAAAAGGAAGAGCTTGAGGTTGATGAAGAAAAAGGAGACCTCTGCCCCCATTTGCATTGATATCTCAGGGGTGCAAGAGGATTTGAAGAAAGTCACAAGCTCTCCTATTTCGGGCAAGTTCTGCAGGTACAGGTTTTGCAGCTTTCAGTTCCCCATCAAAGGTTCCCAGCGAGGATGTCAAGGAGATGAAGGATATGCTCCTGAAGGTGCTGAAGGAACAAGAGGATTCAAAGCAGAACATGGAGGAACTGAAGAAGAGTGTGCTCACTCTAGATGCTGCCGTGAAGGAACTGGTCAAAAGCTCAGATCAGGGGAGACAGTCCACTATTAAGGACATAGTGTCTCAAATCAGCAAGAAGCTGGAGGATCTTGCTGTTGATGATGACCAGAGCACTGCTTCCTAAACTATCCTACCTTGCAGCCTCTTTATGTTGATGAAACTTATGTTTATTTGCTTTTGAAAACAATTTTTTTTGGGTTTGTAATATTTTGGGCACTTTTTAATTTCTTTTGGCAAACTTGCGAATTTGGTACATTTGGCCGATGTTTTTAATCGGTTTTGGATGATGAATGTCTATGTTTCTTTTGCCTATATGCTTTGTGAATATTTTCTCTCTATGCATGTTTCTTGTCTTAACACTAAACCACTAGTTGGTGCTGTGTTATGGTATACTATACGTGTGTGTGTTAGTTTTTGATAATGCCAAAAGGGGGAAAAGGATGCAAACTATCAAGGAAACTTAATCATTCTATGGTCTCTGTTCGAAATCTTCACAAGCTGCCTAATCTCTACAAGCAGGTATAATGTATATACAAGTTTTTTTCAAGTTTTCAGTTTTTCCTTAAGTTATTCATTTATGCATTGTTTATTTCCTTAAACATTAGTTTCCATTCTGCATTGTATTTTGTTTTTTCCTTTCTTTAGGAATAAAATGGATTATCTCTGTTTCCTTGTAAGTAAGTTTGGTTTGTTTGTCATCATCAAAAAGGGGGAATATTGTTGGACTTAATGATTTTGATGATGAAACAACCTCACTTACTTACAAACTAATAAGTGCTTGATTGTTTAAGTGTGTACTCAGTTATAAAGAACAGGAGAATTAAGTGTCTTGTAAAAATACCATGAGGAACAAGAAAGCCAGAAGCAGAGCTAGCCACATAGAAGAGTTCCCTCACAGGAACTGGCGCTTCAGAAATGAAGACTGGAGAAGAGAAGGTTCCCTCAGGGAACATAAGCTTCAGAGAAGAAGCCTCATCAGAGAAGAGAAGTTCCTCCCAAGGAACAGAAGCCTCGGAGTAGAAGCTTCATCAGAGAACATGAAGACTAAATATATTTTTATATTTTAGGATTTATGTAAGTATAAGATATAAAATGGCACTCGAAAGATCTGTGTGGGATTGGTCTAAAAAGATAAAATTGTGCATGCTAGTTTTTAGAAAAACGGTTGCTTTCTAAAACGTTTATCTTTTGAAAGGGATTTTATTTTATTCTGAATTTCGAAAATATCTTGTGCAAAAAGATTTTATTTTATTTTCTTATTTTCAAAAAATATCTTCTGAAAAAATAAAATCACCATGTT